AATATAAAAGGGGACTATAGGCGTGGGAAAGATTTTTCAATTCTTTGTAGATAGACACACTGGGAAAACTGCGATGGCTGATAGAAGTTTAAAATATAAAGTGAATTTAGTAAACAGTAGAGTGAAACTAATTTGAATTGAAAGAACTGACACCAATGACTTTACGTACTATCTTATTCATCGTATGCATTCATAGCGTGTTACGGTTTTTAAAAATTTCCTGCACATGAAAGATTCTTAAATTTTAATGAACCCCATATTTAATTCGTCGTCCATATTTATTTCGATGTTTCCTACTGCATCATATGAATTTTTGTTTGGTCTAGGACATTAATCATCTATGATAATTTATGATTACGTAATAATCCGTCATCGTGTAACTCGAATGGCAGTTGGTTGAAACAGTGTATGATTTATATTCTCACTATACAAAAAATTGTATTTCAAATATTAAATCGCACTTAACGAGACATACAATATTTACGTATTACTAGTGATTGATTAATATTTTTCTTTTATTCAGCCTATTAATCAGGATATTTGTTATCTAATGGTAATATTCACTTAATAGTCATTAGCTACATTAAATATACTTCGTCGTTTGCTTGCATGAATAACAAATGCTGTGCATTAAATATTACATTAAATTTCCCAACCACAGTAAACTGCAAACGTTCGTACAGCTCAAGTCTTCCTCTAAACAAAATCACTGAATTAGTGCTTCTTAAACTTCTCGACTTCGAATTAAATCACAAGTAACCTACGTCAAACTCAACTACTTACTATAATATTCTTATTAACCTCGTTATTACTATAACATTCTGATTTCCACTAAGAATATCCAACATTTTTCGACAGGTGATATTTTGTAAGAGTCAACTTAACGACAAACCACACGTAAATTAAGGAACCAAACTATTTAATTCCAATATTCCATATATTGATACATTATGCAAAGTTTAACATTAAATATAGAACTGCATATTCTTTTGCGCCTAACCAAGTGGCGATTAAAAGCTGCCACGCGCGTGCAAAGGGTTAACTGCAACTCGAAAATGATTATCTATATGCAAAAATTGTACGTTCACCATAATTGGTGATAATAATTCTACTACTGTCACAAGATTCTGCTACTGTTCCTTTCACGACCATTGTTACGCTTCTCTCTACTATACACGCGACAATTAAAATTCTCCAAACGCACTTTCCTTCCCAGGAAAATCGTAATCTTTGCTCAAATGCCATTACGAAGATAGTATTACAACGAACTCGATCGACAATAACCTACCACACATTCCCAACACCCGATTAAACCAGATGTCGTGGGATCTGCGACACGCAAGAAAATTAACAGAGTACTTCTTACAGTGCATACCAAACGTCAACATCTCGATTCAAAGCTTTCATGTCATTCGTACGTTCCCAAATTTCGAACACTCGAAAATCAGCCTTCTCGGTCCTCCGCCCGTCAAATGCACAGATAATCGTTTAATGTTCACCACGAACGTTGTATCCGATAGGACATACTGTGTGTACGAATAATCGACAAACAGTAAAACCTCGATTAACCGAGCCACTGTCTTCGGCAATATAGATCATTCGAAGTGTAGGTTAACACGTGGACTACCTGAATTGCTTGAAAACAATTATAATACCTAAGACGACTGATATTGAATACAAACGTTTATTAACGTAAATAAGTTGATAATAATACGCAATCAATAATAATAATAACAATAATAATAATAATAACCGATATGAATGTAGTACAACCGGGTAAAAATCGAGAAAGCAAAAACAAAATAATTAATATTACTAAGATAATAATAACAACACGTAAGTAGTAATACCGTAAAAATTAAGATACCACACACAATTGCCCTCGCTCATCCCTGCCACTAGTTCATAAGCATTACATAAAACTTTCATTTTTGTAGCAGTCAACGTATCAACCACGAACTCGACAAATTCTCGGATTATTCTTTTCTTACATTCACAATTCAATTTTAAGAATACAATTTAAAAAATTTTCTCACGAGCCTCCATTTATCTCGGGCGTTATTCAGTGAACTGAAACAATGGACGATCGAGGTTTCACCGTACCTGTGACCAAAATCTGTTCCACTGGAATTTAAGGTACCCGTTCTATGTAATTCTTCCTGTTCCGATCGAATCGACCGATTTGTCGAGCACTCACCGAGGATCGAAGCACTATGAATACCTCGTGGCAAGAGTTTATCACTGAACCCGATCCGAGGAGGATTCGCGGCAGCTCGGAGACACCGCGCGGAACAGAATGCGAATCATTCGCGATGCAAGCTCGCGAAGAAATCACACTCGATGCGCCCCGCTCGTTTGCTTGCTCAGCCGATCGCTCGTTCACTCGCGTAGCTCGCGTCTCGCCCTTCTAACACGCTTCTCTCGCCGTTACTGCGATCGTCGACATCGATTCGAGCAATTCGCGTTTTTCTCAGTCCCCAAGGCCGCCGGCCCTTTTCCACTCCTTTTTTTTTCCGCCTCCGCCAAACTAATTTCCTCGACTGTTAATTGAATAAAAGCTTCCGGACGAGTTCAAAGGTTGCTCTCCAGTTGCACTCTTCACGGAATTAATTTCATCTTCTTTTTTAACACCAGGCTTACGAACGTTTGAATGACTCTTACTCTTCTTACAGATGTAGCTGTAATGTAAAGACTATGTAATATGCATAAAACAGTGTAACTCCAAGGTAATTTTTATTATTACCGCAAGTTTTGCGTAGGTAATAGAATTTTTGTTATTTCGTGGGATCGCACGGAACAATAAGGAAATTTATTTTGAATATGAGGTTAATTAAGAAATTCGGAAAGTAAAGTTAATCGATTTGACAAGTAAGACATTATTTATTGTACAGTTTATTCTATTGCTCCTAGAAAAATTGATATTCGTTTGTTTAGATTTTGGTAAAACGACATTGACAGAATAATATTTATAAAATTCAATATGCCTCGAAGTGACGCGTTTCGTATACATACTATTAAAAACATTGGTTGTATTAATTTTACGTACAGATGAAGTTTACTACTGGTTTTTTAATTTTAGGCAAATTAATACGTTCATGGTAATTTAACATACTCGTGACGCCCAAGATTTGGAAGTTCCTAGAATCGTATTGCTGAGGATTTAATTGGAAATTTGAATTGGGATAGGAAAATTTTTATTGTTATCAATATTTAATGATCTTCATGATCTGCCATTTTATGCGATTAATGTCAATCGTCTTTTGTTCAATTTGTATAATACTTGAATAATTCCCTGTTTAATAATGCATTTTGTATATACTATGAAAGAAAAGATGTTACGCAATCTTCTGCACAATTAAAATGATGAATTATAGAACGAGTCTGGATGACGTTTCTGCGCATTTTGACGTCTGTAATGCAGCACGAGTTTAACTGGTTATTCTGCACGAGCGAGTTACATCAGGTTTATGTTACTTTTATCGTTAACGTAGTAGCGTAATTGAATAAGCGTTAATTAAGACGCCATTGCAGGAGGTCTTACTGCATTTTTGTTTTGGCGCTAACAGAAATCACGCATGCATGATTAAAATACGAAAGAAGTGCACTGATCTAATTTCGATTTATTGAAATGTAAATATAAATGGAAATACTATAATATAAAATGATAATAATACGATAAATAATAAACAAGTGATTTAAAATAATAGTGGTGCAAGTTCTATTTCTGAGTTCTCGAGAAAAAGAAGCTTTCGTGAGATGTTCTCGGATTGATTAAATACTAATAAATATTTAATTAACTCACGAACATTTCACTAAAGTTTCTTTCTCGCGACTGCTCAGAATTAAAAATTAGACTATTGTTATGCTGAGCCACTCAAATAATGTAATGCAACTATTTTGCAAAAATAGTAATGCAAAATCGGTATCAATTAACCGGCTGGTACACATCGGTTTTTTTTGCGTTTCTCCAGCTTTTTTTCTCGCTTTTGCAGATTGTTGGTGTCAAGATGCATTAAATGGCGTAAAGTTATTATCACTGCCCAATGTAGTCTCATATATTTATAAGAAACTTAAAAACGAATGCACGCAATATGAAAATATATATAAACCGTTTTCTACAGTATTTTGGGAAAACTGTTTTCCATCGTAATTATATTTTTCTAATTATGGTCTTGAAAGTTTGAATTTACATAAAGATTTGTAGTCTATTTACTAATGTGTCGAATTTTTATATAGATTGTAAACAATTTGCACGATTTTACACAGGAATTGTAATTTTCCTTTCTTTCGAGCGTTTCACTATAGTTTGGAATGATTTTCTCGTTCGAGTTGCTGGAAAGTTTTATTGCTTTCGTTAAATTCATATTGACATGTTCTTGTATACTCCATTGGTTTTTCACTCTCCCCTGCGATTTGTGAATTACATTTTGAGAATAACATTTCCAAATGGAACTGCTGTATTGTTTCTTCGTGTTGGGTGTTTTCGAATTCTTTTACCGAGATTCTTCACAGGAATGGAAACCATTATAGCTAACATTAGCAACGTTTTCAGAAGATTTGTGTTCACGTTCGAAATCTTTAATTTTCGAATGGAAATGTTGGAATTAAGTAAAACTTTCGATTTTCGCTCAAACGTGCAATGTTTGAAAGAAGCCACGTGTGGCTAAAGTTTCAGCACTCCATTTACGATGCCATTTTTCCCTTAACCCCGCGATGTACAATTGTCACCAACAATATACAAAATCGAAGAGAAATTTCACCGTACACTCACTTTAAAGATAGAACATCGATAATAAAGTAATCCGTCACTCAGACCTAACTACGTGAACCAAATAAAATTGATTTCTATTGAACTAAATCCTTACGTCTCTCAGACGTCATTGTATGCCAATGAATTAAAAGCACTTTCTCATGTAAATGGTATTCCGAAAGATCGTTTGCGAAGCTCATGTTCGGCGAATATAGAACGAACTGCGCGGCAAACGGGGCGCACAGTAGAATCTTCTTTGTGCCCGGTCGTGCTCTTTGCATTTCCTTTTCGCGGCCCTCGCAGAAATTTTATGCGTGGCGGCGTAGGTATACGAGGAATGTTTCGGAATCGTGAACTGAGAACCGGTTCAGATTTTTACACCGAACCAAGGTTCCTGACTAAATAGATTGGACTGATTCCGCGTCTCGGAACCGAATGTTTTTTTTTCATTTCCGCATCGATAACGCTGCAACTGAACTACGCAACACGACTTTTGCGCGATCGGGTGCACGTAACACTTCGGAGAAGACTCCGCAGTCATTGCCTAACTTACGAATCATTTTTGAACCGCAAGTGTAGTGGTTGAATTTTGATCCAATCAATTATTTCTAATGGAAACATCGTATTGCAGTTTTGTGTTGTGCAGTTGAAATTGTTGTAGCCGTGACACTGAACACTCGTAGAGTTTTTGAGTGACGAATAATGGATCGTTCGCGTGAAAAGAAGTGTTACCTTTGTCAGAAGGTTTGTACGTACTTGGTTCTGTACGCACAAAGAGTGAAGTGTTGTTTTATTTACTAAATTTTCCAGTAAATATTTCAAATTAACTGTTTCTATCAGTGTATGGTAATAATATCATGTACCAGTGTCACTTTAAGTATGCCACTCGCTTGTATTTTAAGATTTTCCAGTCCTCACTGTCTGGTATAGGTAAAAGATTCTGCATAGATATCTGGCGCCTGGTTTTATTTATTTATTGTTTACTTCTTTTTAGACATACGATCCGATGTAATGTCCCATTAAGGCTAAACTCGCGCAAGCGGTTTGCGAGAAAATGTCACAGTGGCTACTTTTGGAGTAACAGAGAATAAAGGCTCTTTTTTGTTTCACAGAAAGAACGGTAAGAGAACTTCACGTATTTATTTTTCCGAAATAGTCCTAAACATTAGGATTTTCATTCGAGTACTCAGAAAAGTTCAGCTGTATTGGATGTCAAAATCCTACACGATTGTTTAATAATTTCCTCAAATGATTGGTCATTATTATTAATTATTATATAGTTACACTACTTATTAATTAGTAATAATTATTATTAACAACAAGTTGTTTCAATCTACGAGATATTTTAAAGTATTCAGAGACTTCAAACACTGTCTAGGAAAATTGTCCTTGCGTCTTATAACCTGAAGCGGTAATAATTTAACATGGAAATTACCGTGATTACTCAGTAATTTGATTCATTACGTTTTTATAAATATGTATGTATATAGAGGTTTCTTGTATATATTATACTACTATACTGTACTGTATTCAAAAACAAACGCGCAACGGCACGAAATTAAAATATCAAATTTGTTCCTGTTGAAGTTAAAAAAATGTATATTTAATAATAAATAAAATATGAATAACGCTAGATGAATGAACTGTACCCGGTATCTCCACAAATTTTACCGAACAAATATGCAAACATAATCGTGTACCGGCGAAGAACGCAGAAGCCTATCCTGTAATCTCAATCTGGAACTACGCCGTACATTAACAAGATACAAAGATTCCACGAAACTTAACCTTTCTTCTCATATAGAACTTCTATAAAAAAAACACTCGTCATATTCCCGCGTGAATTATGGGTTTATCCTTCCGGAATTTTGTAGGCTGAGATTAAATATTTTTACCAAAAATACATTTCCGAGAAGATTATTCTTTTCTCATTTTACACATCTCAGGCTGAACATTTTCCTGTTCGTCACCATGAAATATTACATGCCGCGTCGTACAAACAAACCTGTTTCGGATTCGTTTTTTCCCAACTTATTTCCCCTGTCTTGATATTAATAATCATGAAACGACGCCATTTGACATTATAACATTGTTCTCGCATACAAGAACAGTTTGTAACTTCACTGATTATAAAAAGTTTGTAAAACAGGAAGTATCATGCGTCTATAATTGCCTGGAAAATGATTGCCGATGTTAATTATAATTTGTTTCGTCCCATTCTAAAACGTCAACTGTTCTTCGGTATACTGAAAGTCATAGTGTAATTAAAAAATTGTCAGAAGAGAATTGATTCTTTTTCCCCTTAAGTCTGATGATCCTTACTTCGTTCTTAATTCAATTTTCATGGAAGACAGTATCGTACAATTGAATCGGACTCTAAATTTCACGTGTTTATGGAATAAACATGAATTAAAGAATATTTCCTCAATTTTCTGTAACCGAGATATAAGTTACTGGACTCTGTACCGGTGCATTTGATAAATTATTTAGTTCCGCTCTGTAAATATTTCGTGATCTTCATATATCGCGATATTGTTCTAAAAACTATTCATTTCTCCCCGATGATTCCTTTGAGACTATTTGCCTTCGCGATGGGTAGACTACGATGGCGTAATAAAAGATTTTAACCCTTTCCCTCAACGGCAACGTGAATTTTTCGGCTGCAACTTTACCTGAATCTCCATCGAACCGGAAGTATGGAATCACGCTGCGACGGCAAACTATAAACATTTCGTTCCACCTTGTACGCGACACTAATCGTGCAGTAAACTCTTCTAATATGATACGCAAATTTGACATAAATGCGATGAATTATTGTAGTCCTACGGGCCTAATTGGCGGGTGCTATACGTGTATCGAGAGTTTGATTGTCATTGCCTATAATAATGAAACCGGTTCGGTAATTGGTAAGGGCATGTTGCATGATACAAAAATTACTACCTATTTAAAAGAGTCCTGTATTATGTACGAATGTAGGATTTGGCACTGTGGTGGGTCTTAATAACAACAGGAGTTTATGTAACTAAATAATTAACAAATAAAACAAGTATTTAATTTATGTTCGCCGAAGACTCCGTTATCCTGCGTTATCTCATTCTCACTCATGCTCTCTTTGCTGATCCTGACATACTGCTCTGCTGTTCAACTTCCACGCACTTTTGAAGTTCACCCCCAATCATTCTTTCTTTCTTTCACATGCATCCCTTCTTACTCGCGCCCTGTTCCTTGCATCCATAGCTAGCAGTCACTCGGTCACGTACACACTCTCCGAATCACGTCATTCTTGCGGTTTAGTCGCTCGGTCTAAACATTTTTTCCTTGCACACTTGAATCCACTCAAGATCACCTTGTCTTCAGTCACTTTCAGCTTTCCCCAAACATACCGACGCGACCCTGTCGTAACATGACATCAACCGTACACTCAACCGGTCGTCCATTCATGCCGTAGAACAAAACCTTAACGTTACGTCTCGACTGATTGACAGATCCTTGAATTGCGGATGATCACTAACCGCGTCCATCGCACTTTTTATCCCTACATTAATTACCTATTATCGATTTTCCGTGCATAGAACGCTGGTTACATAATAGAATCATACATGTCCTTCGATATAAAAATCAAACGACTAATTAACCTTTTCCTCTTTTCGTAATTTCATTTCATTCCCGACTGGAACAACGAGCTATTGTAGCGATGCAGTGATTATGGTCCTTTGCATAATGTAACAGAACAGTGGAACTTTTTTCTTACAAACATTGTTCTTGCGACACTAGATAATAAATGTTTGTCGTGAGCTGATTACAATTAATTACAGCTGACTCTCGAATTATGCGGCACTTCTCTAAACGATAAATCAGAACGTTATTTACACGGTAGTTTTTATACGCGATCTGAACTCCGTAACATCATATAGAATGTACTCTTGTTTCCTGAAATGTCATTACTATTATTTTTTTTGTTCTGTTTGTTTTGTTCATCTGGAACTCTGTGTCACTGGACTTCAATCTGCTAACGCTACGATATCAACAAGACACGAAACACAATTGCGAAAGTATACAATTTGTCCGGTAACGGTGATTTCTGTGCAAATAAAAAGTATGTTTATCGTTTATTAGTTGCAATGGAACGACGTCACGTCAACTACACACCTAATATTTATAATTCCTCACTGACAGCCTATAAAAAAAATCCACTCGATATTGTTCTAATTATATTAATTACATGTTTCGACAATTTTATCTAATTTCGGTCGTAACCGGTTCATTTTTTATAGACATTCTCTTTAAAAGTATCTTCCTAATTTAAATTTTTAATGGCGAGGCAAATTTTTTCAAAAATACCTTTGTATTCATTGCATCATATTTTCTGCATGCTTTGATTAATTGATGTATGTGAAATTTTTATTCTAGTGAAAAAAATAATTTTTCGAAGTAAAAAAAAATGTGATCTTTTAACTAGCAAATTGTGGAAACTGAGAAACAAGTAATCGCAGTGGTCCTGTTATCATTATTCCTTTAGCTTCGACAGTTAAAATACTTCAATTTTATTTATCATAAATAATTTATTGTTTTCTCTTGCCATATTTTAAACAATAAAATTCTATTGTGTATTTAGAATTGCGTAATTCAAAAATATTTCAAACTGTTACGAATTAGGCGCCAGAATTGAATGATAGTTCCATCTCGAAACGTTATCGTGAAACTACTTCAAGAGAAACACAGCTTAAGAAACGGTGAAAGGAATATTAAATTTAGTTCTCCCGATTCACCGCTCGGTGGCTATAGTCATTTGTTTTCTACACAGATGGTGGTTTTCTACAAACTGATGCATTTTGAACTCTTCAGATCAATAAATGATCGGTTGTATGTTTATGAATTAAGGTTATTTTGTGATTCAATTGTGTACGATATAGAATAATCCATAATTATAGTCAACAGTCATATAGTCATAATTGTAATAATAAAGTATAAGATTTAAACGTTTTGATTTGACATTGTGGAATCGGTATGGATTGCGACAAGCTGGACTTATCTGAAAAGATTCGAGTAAGATTTGACAATGGCTGGGAATTAATGAAAAATAATAAGAACTCAGAGGCAATATCGTATATAAAAGAAACAATAGCATATATAATTCAGAATTTAAAAACTCTAGATGAAGGGGAGATGAAAAATAAGTGCACCATACAGCTTGCACTTACTCACTTACGGCTTAGTACATTATATGTAGACGAAGAGGATTTGAAAGCAGGTGAAGAACAATTAGAGAAATGTATAGACTTATTAAAGGACAAAGAAATGGAAACAGATGCAATTACTCCATTGATCACAGCTCTTAATCAGCAAGGTTTTATTTTGTCTCAATGGAAACAACCTCTGAAAGCTAAAGTTGTTTTACATAGGGCAGAACAGATCTTTCAAAACTATACGAAGGATAATAAGGAATATAAGATTCCTAGGGCAGATTTTAATACTATTCAAGAAGTCCATGATGAAGTGGTCCTTAAAGAAGTATTTGAAAAACTTCATACAATGACATTATTTTACCTAGCTCAAATTTATACTTCTCTGCAGGATCATTATATGTCTGCAATATATTGTCACATGACTTTGCGCAGGCAATTATATCACAATGAAGTTATGCATGACCTAGATCACATCGACTGGGCTTTGAATGCAGCAACACTTTCTCAATATTTTTTGGAAATTGAGGGTTTCACTCAAGCAAGGTATCATTTAGGTGCTGCATCCTATATATTACAAGTATATGAAGATAAGTTAAAAAAGAAAACTGAAGTTAATGGGCAAACTGAAGCAGTTGCTGCTGACTGGGAAAACTTTAAAGACAAAAGTGCAGATGTTGCTCGGTGTTGGGCAAAATATGGTCTCATACTTTTAATTTCATCTAAAGAAAGACTCCTTGAACTAAGCGAAGAAGACGAGGAGAATGACCAAGCAAATAAAAAAGAAAATTCAAAGCCCAAACTAAAAGAAGACTTAAAATTTGAAGTTCTAGAAGGAAAAATAGAACCAATTATAAATCAGATCACGGATAAATATTTGTTGGATTTTGATGATGCTAGACGAGTATTTTTAAATGTTCAAAAATGGTTGGATCAAGCTATGTCCTATTACACTTTTGATGATCATGCTTCTGATTATGTACATATTGTGCAAGATTTGTCACAAGCATACAATTACTTATCCTTCTATGAGGAGAGTGAAGACAGAAAGGCAAAGATGCACAAGAGAAGAGTGGACATCTTAGAAAACGTTGAGAAAGAACTGAATCCTCAGTTTTACAAAGCTGCTTGCAGACAAATCTGGTTTGAATTGGGAGAAACATATTCAGGCATACTTCAAATAAAATTTGATCGTCTTAATACTACAAACAAGAATCCACAAGCAGTAATGAAAATAAATAATTTGGCTCAAAATTCCATAAAATATTTTCAAAAGTTTATTGATTCTTTAGAAACTAATTCATCAGATCCTGAAAATCCAAAATATTCTGATGATGTATTACGACCAGCTTTATTTTCCTACTTCCAAATTGGCAGAATGTACAGTAAAATGATCCCTCCTGATTTTGTAGATAATATAGCAAATAGTATTAAGGCATATAAATTTGTAGTTGATTACTGTGACAAATACCCTGCTGCAGCAGAAGTCATGAAGTTTGAATTGAATCATTGTAAAGAATTAGTATCTTTATTGACGATACTATACGAAAACAAAAAAAAAATAAAGAATTGTTAAAGTTGTATTACATTGTTATGATATGTTGTCACGTGTATTTAATATTCTTTATGTCAATTTTTAACTCTAGAACTACTGTACCAGTTAAAATAACTGGTTTCGATTTCCTTGTTCCGCAATTATTGATATCTTCAAAGCATTGAATATTTGAAATGATTTTGAAAATAAATAATTTCTCCTGAATACTATAATGTATGTCTGAAGGAACTGAAAATAATAATTTGTTACAATTTTTATAGGGATTACATATCAATCGTATTAAATGTTCGGTAGTTCTAGTGTTAATTACGTTTTATAAATAAATATATTACTACAGTCATCTTTTTTTGTACGCAAATTTACAGGTTTTTTTAATAAAAAAATTTTGTATTATTAAAATATATACATAAATTTTATGTATTTATTATCTATGTAATATAATGGTATTTTTTAGAAAGTGTGTGAAATGGTTCTTGTTTGATACCTCTTATACTATTATGCTTTGCGGATCGGCACTAAGGCATCATTCAGTAGTTCTAAATGGTAGTATGAATTTCTCTATTTGTCTTTGTCTTATGATTGGATCATGTCTCTCTGTGTCGAATACCTCTTGTTTCGTCATGTTTCGCGCGTAAGTAGCAAGGATTTATGAAATGAATTGAAAAGTTGGTGGCATAAATGTTATTATACTTACTTATTTGTGTCTGCCTTACAATCAGTCTCTTGTCTCACATGTAATGAGCATACAATACTAGTACTAATTTACATTTTCTACAATGTTACTAACTGTATACAAATATTTAAAAACGAATAAATAAAAATCAAATAGTAAGGATTAAATTAATTAAAAACTAAAAAGTGTTCAAATGAAAAGGTCTCGAATGTAACGATTTTTTAATGAGTACCTTCGATATTTTGTTATATATAAAGGTTTACATTGAAGTTCAAAAATTCGACTTTATCATGTAGTCATTGAAAACGATTTCATATTAATTTTTTTATCCTTAATCGTGTCAAATCAAAGCTGGACCATACTATGTAGCTCATTTAATTGCAATTTAAATGCTACGTAATGAAAGCACTATTTCTCAGTAGATAATGTTGTTATCATTGACGAGTGACAACACCGACAAGAAACAGGATAATACAGACACAAACCGTGCATATACTGCATTTTTCTGTCTAATGTTTTGAATTACCGACATCACCAAAAATGGTCCAATACACTAGCGGACTCTAATTGAATCGATCGGTCATTACTGAACTATATTACTTATCTTAAATCTATGATGTACTTACTTGGCGATAAAGTTCGATCAGTTTTGCGATCGTGCCACGGATGTCGCAACTCGTAAAAGGAAATCAGTAATCGAGAAAGTAGAATATATTTTATTCGTAGATGTTAAAAAACATTATTTATCGAAGTTGGTACACGAAAAAAATTGACGATATCCCCTTGTACAAATTATTTGTTTATGACCATATTATTCTTTAAATAAAATGTGAGTAACATACTATTACATCAAAGGAAAACTTATCAAAAGCATGAAATTCAAGTCACCACAAATAAAAGTTTGTATTTGTCTTCTAAGCAAATTGATGATATGTGATTGTTTTATTAAACTGCAATCAAAGTTTATGAAAAAAACTGGACTACAAATTCCCATGTTGGAACTGTATTCAGTATGATTTACACTTAACATGTCGTTGTGGTATTCATTATAAGTATTTGTGGGAAAGGTATTGATCAAGATATCAAATACAATATGGTAGAAATAATTTTTTTTTGGTATATAAAAAGCATATTTTATTATAGAGACATAATAATATAATTCCACCTTTGATCTAAATATTCAATACTACGTATATCTTTTAAAGCCTTATTCTCTACTTAAATCTTTTATTATTTCATTATTATTATTATTATTACTTTTACGCGCTTATAAAGCTTATAAATCATTCTCCCGTACAAAGAAAGTCTCACCTTAAAGGCACGATTGTGAAATTAACAGGGTGTAGTTTAAACCCTCCCCCGTGAACAGCGTTGAAACCACCCCCTTCGGAACAGCTTCATTTCAGTGGACGGAAAAGGCGCCCTTAGGAAGAAGAATTTATCGATCCCCACTGCTTTCTTTCTTCTCAGCCTGGAGGCAAGAGTCTTGGGGTGTCTACAGGGGCGGGGGTGGTCGAAGACGGAATTAAAGATGGCGGTACTTTTTCCATTGTTTCAACCCCTGGGATTCGAGACTCGGCGTTCCTCCTTGGCCTCTTTAGAAGGGTGGCTGCTTGTCTCGGTTGGCCGAAAAATGGCTGGAAATATTTTTCGAGGGACGTTAAAGTGGGGGTGAACACCCCTGGCGATTCCATTACATTCTTATCGGGGTTCGAGCGATGGAACTGGCCATTCGAAACGCCATTGCACCTAAAATTGGGAAAGTGCTTAGATGGATTATTTGTTGGAAAGAAGTTTCGAAGTAACGGAAGTTTCAAATTTTGTAATAATATTGAATACATTAAATGACCATTCTAGATGATTGATTTTCCTTAACTACGCATACTTCTTTGTAATTAACCTTTTGCAGTAATACAATTAAAACCGTATATTAACAATTAATAGAATCAGGAATCAATGTATTATGACTGAAGAAAATTATACAAGCAATTTATACCACTTAAACAAACACGTAGAAAATATAAAGAGACATCGGTTTAATGTTCAATAAATTGATACAATTCCATTCTAGTTCCATAGAACTTTCAAATAAATACACTTTCCCACTCTCATTTCTTAAACTCCGCTTCAAACGAAACTAACTCGGAACATTAAAACAAACACCTTCCTTCGCCGCACCGTGTCCTTTAATTTTAACCACAGAATAATTAATTATACGTGATGTTATCCGAAAACAATCTTCGAGAAAACGTTTATGAAGTTATAAATGAAAGTATTAATTATTCTAATGAACTACGATCAGCCTCAATACAGAAAAGCAAACGTTCCACTACAGAAAAAAAATGTTAAGAAGTCACATACATTTTCTTCTCACACAACTCTGTGTGATAAAGTGTCTGCAACATATTAATCATATTCAACGCTCGGTAATTCTAATGTTAAACATTTTCGAGGAGATAGTTACGCGTCATAAAGACCGAAACCGATTTCACTGAAATAGACAGCGGAAAAAGTTCGTGCGGGTTCTTAAATTAGAATTTAAACACAGGACACGTTTCAGTGAAATAACTTCATTTTATTTCATACAAATCGCATGGACATAACTTGCTACTAATATCAATTTCATTCATTGAATTAGCGAAACACTAATTGAAGTCGAACCTCAATTCATTGTTAATAAGAAAATCGCACGAACTTTTTCCAGTACCTAATACAATTACCTTGCGAAAGTTAGCCAAAAAGACGCGTAATCTTCGAATGTACGCGTCGTAGAACCACCCCCGCGGTTCCGCACCCCCTCTATCGAGTCAGCCTTCTTTTTCTCCATTATTTCTCCCGTTTCAAGAAGCCAGGTATTGACCGAGCAGGATATCGCAGTATTTTCCTCGAAGCTTCCTCGAGACCGAGAAAACGCTCGTCTTTGTTTTTATTGCTCGAACGGGAACGGGCGGCGGAGGGTGCGGCGGTGGCGGGTAACGATGGGGGTGGGTGTACACGAAGGAAAGGAAAAGCAAATGAGGCTCGATGCTCCAGGGGCTGAAGGGGATGAGGCCGGTAATGCGAACGGTATGCAAGAAATCGCGGGAGTCGTTTCTGTTTCTCTCTTTCCACGTTTTTCATCCCCCGTCGACCGCCGCAGGAAAGACTTTCCGCAGCGCAAAAAGTCGGCCGCCGCCTTTGAAGAGGAAAAGGGAACAAGAGGAGTCGCGTTATCGAAATTTTTGGTCTGATTCGAAGGTACGTAACTATCATACCTCCTCTATGATGCACACTTCTAACTCTTGCGACTTTCAGTCGCCACTTGATTCAACATAGTAAAATTGTAAACATTAGAGGTTAATATTAAATTTTGTACTAGGTATCAACGTATGACACGTAGAAATAAAATAGTTCTAATTCTTGGTTTATGCAGGATTTTTCTTTATGGCAGTTGGGATTGGTATTGTCAATCTTTTATTAGAATATAATGAATATTTGCAATGGAAGATATTGTCTAGAACAAAGGGCTAAAATCTAGTCGAAGTTTATGTTTGAAATAACGAATAGCAGGCGATATAGATTATTTTTTCTAGGAACAATTACAAAATAGTTAATTTAGAAACTCTTGAAGGTAGCACTATCAAAATAAGAAAGTTTGTTGCGTCGAGTTTTGGAAGTTAGTGTTTAAAGTTTGAATTTCGTAAGAGATTGAGAACAATAGCTTAGTTTGATATAGTTATTCTGTTTTGATGGATTTTCGGTGGGTTCTTTTTTCTTGCTACAGACACATTTTGAAATATTACGTGTACAAACTAGTAATTCATTGTTTTCGATCCGGAAATTTCGCTGAACATTAAGAATCTTCATGGTTTTAGTATATTACACTGTTCAGTCAAAACTTGTAAATGTTCTTTCAATTATTGTATACAGACCGCTCGATTTATTTTAATTCGTGAATTGCTTATTGGCTCACTTGATAAATTAATTATTCACGATTATCCGGTCGAATTTATTTATCAAAACACTTCACGTCATTTCGAACAATGTAACACCAAGTACCAAGGATGCAAAACGAAAACGCTCGCGGAATGCATCGATGTATTAATTATGGGGTAAGTGTCTCGTTTGGCAATTAAACGCAACTCTGTGAAGGACCAGAACACACTGAGCTCGATCGCGTCACGAACATCATGTATAAATACTTGTGAAACGCGTAGATATCACGACGATGCTTCCTAACGTGTTTGACCGGTATGCAAAACACCGGCTGACCATTGTCCCTCGAAAAAGGTCCGCTTCCGACAATCTTTGTCAAGGGTTGAACTCCGAACAGCTGCTGCGCTATCCTCCCTACCCCTGAATGAGTGACCCTCGCTCCATTCAAACTCCTCCGGCACCTCTGTGGATAAATATACCTAATTTTTCAACAGATTTCATATACCAAAAATGCGGAAGTGATTGGGTATGCATGAAAACAAAATCAATAAGAGTAATTATTTAATTAGATTTCAAATCTTGTATTATTACAAAGGAA